AATCAAGGATCCTGCCATCTATGTCTAAGCAAGTATGCGAGTGTATGCATGTATGAATGTGTATGCATGTGTGTGGGGGAGGCCAGAGGTCAACATTGGGTGTTTTCCTCATTCTCCAACTTACTTTAAAATATCTTTCACTGAACCTGAGCTTGCTGATTGGCTAGACTAGCAGGTTAGGAAGCCCCAGGAATCTCGCTGGCAACTGGAAATACATGTGCCCAACACTGTACTCAGCTTTGTACGTGGGTGCTGTGGACCTGAACTCACACCCAGCACTAGGATTACAATGCTCAGTTTTGTATGTGGGTGCTGGGGAACTGAACTCAGGCCCCTAATGCTTGCACATCAAGTACTGACTGACCCATCTCTCCAGCCCCCTATTTAGTTGTTTATAGTCAGCATTTATTGATTAGAAACAATAGGTTTCATTATGACATCTTCAAATGTGTACTTATTTTAATCCTATTTACCCCCTTCATCCTTTACCCCTGGCACTTCCACTGCCCCCTTCTCCTCCCAGCTAGCCCCTCTTGTACTTTCATGATTTCTTTTCCACTGCTGGTTTAGTGACCCAGTGAATTTCACCACGGTGGCTTATGGGAGCATGGGGGGAAGGTTCGTTTATATCAAGGATATCTTATTAGTAGATAGACCACTAAGAAAAATGTCTCTCTTTCCTTCGTAGGCTTCATCAACTACTTAGATTAACCCTCAGGGAGGGGTGGGGCCTATGAGCCTCTCCTCAGTCCATTACAGGAGTGTGGTTGGGCCTGACCTTGTATAGATTTTGTGCAGGCAATCATAGCTGCAGTGACTTCAAGAGTCAAATGGCCACATCATGCTCAGGAGGCAACATTCTTTACCATTCCCCAGCTTCCTCCTGCTCCTTCAGTTCTTTCTGCTTCTTGCTCATCTGTGATCCCTGAACCTTGGAGGGGCTGATATCGATGTCTCATTTACAACTGAGCATCGATGAGTCACTTTTTCTCAGAACCTGACCAGCTGTGAGGCTCCAACCAGCAGGGGGGTTTTGTTGGCTGTTTTCCTCATCTCCTTCTACCACTATAATACTACAATCCCTCTCAGCATCCCCTCCTCACTATGGGCTTTGGTGATTAATTCTCCCACTTGCTTAGGAAGTTGCTTACCATCTGAGAAGATTAAAAACACCACTCTCAGGACAGGGATGTGGGATCATAATGAGAACCACGCAGATATTAGTCTGTCTGTCCTGCTATGGGTATATACCCAACATTCATCAAAGAGCACAGTGTGTGGCTAATTCCAATGCATTCCTCCCAGACACCCCCAAATGCCCAGCTCTCAATAATAATTTCTTTTGTAAAAATTAGAAGAACCAGTGACTTTATTTTTGAACCTAAATCCCAACTTTCCCCTGCTGTAGCAAGCTCTATTTACTATCATGCTAACTCTCAATGTGTTCTCACCACTCCTCTGTCTTTATTCTTATGAACGTTGCATACTCAACCCAGGAAGATCAAGAGCTGCAAGGATCTTCTTAATGGGTGGACGCTACTAAGTTTAACTCCTACATAACCCCCCAGACATCACATACACCAAAGAAGGCAGGTCTTATATGCTCAGGCTCCATAAAACACAAGGCACTCACAAACCATACGGAATTAATGAGACAAGCCACACGGAAACTCTCCCTAACTGGTGTTGCCGTGCGCAAGAAAATCTGGTACCTTGGTTTTCAAAGGACTCTGCTATGTTTATTTTTGCAGGCCTTGAAGTCCCATTTATCAGGGTTGAGGGTTGGGTCACGATTTTAAAGTTAGGACACAGGAATACCATGTTAAGGGAAAACCAGGTACATTGCAGGACAGGCTCTTTAGTCCATTTCTGGTATTTATTTCTGTTTGATTCTGAACTCTTATTATCAAATCTGTTACTAATCTATCTCTTTCTGAGTCCATGGGTCAATCAACTGGGAGGAGGAAGTCAGGGGAAGGTTGGTGTGTGGACCAGTTTAAAGTCAGGCTCAGTAATACAGTAACCAGAAGTCCCTCCTACAGCTCAGTGGAAATTCTGAAAAACATCCAACTTCCTTGCTTGCTGTCCCTGCGAATGAAATGACACTAATGCTCCTTTGTCTTTGGGAGTGATTTATAATTTACAGAGGCAAATGATCTCATTTAATCCACTCCCCCTCCTCTCCCAGGGACCCCATGAGGCAAGGGAACCACCACTATGAGATAATGCTGGATCAGCCTGGGAAATTCCACCATAGGTGATGGATGATGGGGGATTGTCTGGGCCCCTCAGCTTCCCCCTTTCTATGGGCTTTGGTGATTAATTCTCCCACTTGCTTAGGAAGTTTGCTTTCCATCTGAGAAAATTAAAAACACTATTCTCTGAACAGGGATGTGGGATCATAAATGAGAACCAAATAGAAAAAGATTTACACAAAAACACAAGCTCAACAAAAGAGAAAACTCTGACATTGCTAACAAGGAATACATCAAATAAAGGCTATTAGCAAGCCCCTGGTGTGTGGGGGAAGCCTTCGAAATGTTTTGCTGAGCTCTTAACAATGTCATTTCTACCTGAGGTGTTCAGATATCTCTAGTGTAATTTGGCCTGCACTGTCCAGCATCGCCGTGGACACCTGCCAGCGAGAAAGACCTCACGCAAAATCCCAAGAGTGCTGGAGAGTGAGCATGCCTGCAAATGTCTATGATCTTTAGGGCAGTAGGGTCTTCCTCAGCCGAGCACTCCTGAAACAGTGCTTCCTATTCAAGAGGAGGAGTGGGTGGCTGGCTGGCTGGGAGGCAGGGAACATATACTGATGGCCCTATGCAATATGCTAACAGGGTTCCCAAAAGCCCAGGGCTTTGCTTCTCTGCCTGGAGCCATGAGAGCCATTGGGCCATAAGAACAATCGGGTCAGAACTGGGATGACATGATTTCTTCAGTCCAACCCAGTGGTCTGTACCTGGACTTCCCTCTTCCATTTTCTCTTATCAAAACTTAAAAAGCACGAGCTATGCCAGCTGGCAACACAGTCGGTCAGTGGGGACCTTTTCTGGAGGTGTGTGGGTGGATGTATTAGTGTCCATGGGATAATCAGGAAATCAAGCATAGAGAGCATTTGATCTATCCTCTGAACGAGTTCATCAAGACTGAGAAAGACACAAAGACCACCCTGCTGCAGGCCAACTCCTACTAGTTCAACTTTGAGCCACTCGGCATGCTAACCCAGGAGGTTGGCCTTATCTAGTCCCCCAGGATAGCGAGGCAGAAGGTGCACACAGGCCTCAGACCAATCTCACACCCTAAGCAGTGGCTCTTTGCCCTAAGTGTCCAGTTGGTTCTTCCCCTCTGTTAGGATTTGTATAAAGAGAACATTTCATTTTAAGTGTGATCGGCCTTCCTTTCAGAGAATACCACGTATTAGGCACATTCAACCTCTGACATTGTGACATGATCTCATCTATAAAGTTCACACTTGAGAACTGCACAACTGAGCTGTAAAAATAAAATTGCAAAAGAAATATCTCATCATGTTTTAAGTGGGTGGACAATTTTGTGTTGTGCCAAATTTGTCTCTATTTTAGGCTGCATGTAGCTTGTGGGCCATGCCTAGAGTTCCCTGATGGTGTTGCCTTAGACGCTCTTCACTTTCGGGCAGGTCCTGTTATCACTAAACACGGCTTAGGTGACTCTATTGAATTATGTTTAAGGCAGAACCACGAATGAACAATTGTCCCTGCAGGTTTTGAGTACCAATGAGGGTGACCTGAGGCAGCATTAACTTGCTGTGACGGGTACCCGAGCAGTGGCTCACAAGAGGTGACAGGGCTTTGATATGGACTTTGTGGTTTAGCCAACCCTTTATTGGTGTCCTAAAACCCACAAAGGAGCCCCTCTGGGTGCTGTTTGCAAAGGCAAGACTACATTCTTCAGTCCTCCCTCTTCTTACAAAGGCAAAACTGCATTCTTCAAGAATCCTCCCGTCTTCTGGGACTTTTAAGCTCACAGGCAGCTCTTCTCTCTCACACCATGGTTTCTCCTTGCCAGCAAGGCTTTCCAGAGCCTGACTGTTGGGCTTTCTGGTCAGCACTTTTTGCTCCTAATGTCACAATTCAACAAACCTAGACAGCAGGCTTGGCTGGGGAAGCTCCATACTCAAAGTGTCTACATTGTCTTGGATTTTCATCTAAGGACAGGGTACCATACCCACTGGGTGCTTTCCCTTTCTAAGCTTGCCTAAGTCAGCCCACCACACTCCAGTTTGGCTCTCAGAGTTGACAGAAGATATCTGCATCTTGAATTCCCCCCCACACCACCACCAGAGCATCTGTGTCACCCTCATTCAAGGGCTTCAATGTTGGGACTAGCTTCTTATTTATTTATTTATTTATTTATTTATTTATTTATTTATTTATGTTGGAAACAAGTCTCAAGTTTCAGAAAGTTGTAGAATGAAATGGAATCACCTAATCTTTGGAAGCAGAAAAGTCATTTCATTCAAACCCCTGAGGTCTGGTTAAGTGGTCTATCAGCATGGATACTATAAGCAACCCCCGCTGCCATCCAACTGGAGGTGAAAGGTGCCTTCTATCCAGCATGCTCCAGGATGTGACCCTCTAGGACACATGACCCATTTCATTTTGTAGGGTGAATTCTCAAGCCCCCCAGAAGCCTGGCTCCTCCAACTGATGTCAGCTGAAACTGAATGCTCAAATCAGAAACATGTGCTTCGACTGTAGGATAATTTGTGATTTCTAAATAATAGCATCCATTCCCACCATATCCCAGGGAAGAGGCCAGCCAGCCCTTGTACTATGTGTCATTGATGCTGGCTGTCCATGACTCGACAGAACACACAGTCTATTCTTGCTCCTTGTGTATGGATTTTCAATCAGAAAACCGAGGGAGGGAAGCATTTCCTCTTTTTTCTTAGATGTTTCTCAGCACACAATTTAAGCTGTGCACAGCTCACTCTTGGGCCACTAGAGCCTGGTACTTACCCCGTGGAAGGGTTCATGATGCACCCTCCTTTCTCGGCAGCCATCCTGCAGCTGCAGCCCCTCTCCAGTGTGTCATGGTTCATTCCGAAATTGTGGCCCAGCTCATGTGCCAAGGTCACAGCAGCACCAAGGGGGCTGTCTGAATGGTCCTCAATGGAAATAAAAGAGCACAGATTTACAGTTCACATCTGCTTGGCCTTTTCTCACCCATCTTCTCGCTCCTTGGCATTTTCCCGTCATTAACACTTGGTTTAACTGAATTCCCCGTAAGGCCCAGTACAGAGCCTTGCTATTAACTCTGAACATGGGAAGTAATTTGGCTTATTTCATTAAGCTCATTGGGGGTTATTCTGCTAAAGGCTGTCTCATGTATATTTGAGGATTCTTTGCTGATCTCCCCTCTGCAAAACACCATCGAGAGAGGCCAAAAGTTATGCTTAGTGATAGAAAGAAAAGGCTCCCTCATCAAGAGGATGCTGAGTGGAAGATGCTTTCAAATCATCCCTGAACAGCTAGACGTAACCCTTTTTCCACCTTTCTTCCTGGTAGCGGAGAACTCTGGGAAAGTTTTTGACAACCCACAATTATAGCTGGCCTGAACTAAGATTATAATTCAGTTATGTCTCACTCTTGCTGGCCTTTTAAGTTGACCTTGGACATAGAGAAGTCCCCATTCTTTGATGGAGCTGTTGGGGTTCACATTAACCTTTGGCTATCAGCAGGCATTGCTGGCCACCTAGAACTTACTGGAATCCCTGGACAGCTTGGCTCAAATAGACACTTAAAAAAACAACTAAAAATACAGTTACTTAAGACTGGTTAATTGGTATATGTGATTTATAGAAATTCTGTCAGGGAATGGAGTTTTAGAAAAGGCATTCTGACCCTGGGGAAAATGAACATCTTGCTTGAATTTTGTTTTGTGTTTCCCAAAAAGAGATAGCAGGTTTCCCACAACATATCCAGAAGAGAGTATAAGGAGGTATTCTAGAAAAACTCTTATTTCCAGTCTTCATGAGGATGCTGGGTAAAGGCATGTTTCTGTGAAAGCTGATGGATTTAGTGATGGCATCATCAAAGGGAGGGCATTGTCTAGGACACAATAACATGTCTAGGAAGCAAGTTGTTCTTAGAATAGGTGAAATTCCTGGTAAGTTACTTCATTTACACCCCACAGTTCCCTGTTGTAGGAAGTACTGTAGATATGCTTCTGGAAAGAATTCTTAATCAGGGGCACTGGTGGAGGGAATGCTGTAACATGTGGAGGGCAGAATTTTTGACACCAAATTCAAGGAGCTCGTTCCTCAAGAATACTCAACTGCTAGTTTTCTACTCTGTGGAACATTACAGTTTTGTATCTAGTTATTTATTTTACATCACTCTTAAGTGATTATATAGAACTATATTAAGGATTACTAGTAATCCCTTTATACCTGCTTACCATGAGGAAGAACACATCGTTTTGTGTGTCTGATAGCATGTCTAAATTCAGAGGGATTTATTGTTGTCGTTGTTGTTTAGGTTAGTTAGATACAAAGAATGGCTTTAAATTTCTAAGAGTAACAGTTGACTTTATCTTGAAGAAATGGAGAAATGGTCTTTGAAGTCATATTTTTTGGCTACTTGTCAACCATTTCCTTTCTCTATATTTGAAGGTCACTGGGTATGGGATGGTTGCACCTAATACACATGAATCCAACTTCAGGATGTAGTAATGGAAAGCTAGTACAGAGATTTTTGGTCTAGGCAGGATGTTGATTTTGTTGCCTCATGAAAACTATAGAAGTTAAAACTGATGCATGATGGTATTTCCACCCTAATTGATATTTCCCCATGGGATCAAAAGGGTGTGTGTAAAGATGGTATTATCTGCCATCTAATTGGTAGAACAAACTTCTTTAAAATTTTTATTTATTTTCAATTATGTGTGCACATGACTGTGTCTGTGTGTGGGTTTGTCCATGTGGGAGTAGTGGCCATGGGTCACTTGGAGCTGGAGTCACAGGCAGTCAGGAGCTGCCAGGCCCTCCGGAAGAGCTCCACTATGAACCCGTTATTGCTGAATTATTTCTCCTGCCCCCTGGACAATTAACTCTGAACCTGACTTGAGTCTCAGGGCAATGACACCTAAGTTGTATCTATTCTCATCTCTCCTTCACATATTGAAAACAAATAGTTTTTTCCCCCCCTGTATGATTTTAAAGAGGGAATCTTGGTACTTGCTTCTACGGAAATAGAGAAAGGGAGATGAGCTGATGAGCCTTTTAGCCCTGTTAAAACCCATGGGGGACATGGGTTGCTTCAGCCTTGTACAGGGGCAGGACCCACTTTGCTTATGAAGAATTCCATTTTGGCTCCTAGATGTATTTGTGCCAGTTTTAAGTGGCAAAGTCAGTAGCAACTAACCATGGAACCATGAAACTGAAAATTACTCCCTCTTAAAACTTTACAATCTGTTCTATGAAAACATAGCTGAGATCTGACTCAAAATGAACCTGGCACCAGCAAAACCCATACTTTCCAGACTTCCATGGTGGAGATCACCGGCAGGGCTTCCATGTTCAAAGGAAACCTGAGAGGAGCTGGTTCAAGCCAGCAATGCAGCGAGTGGGTGCAGGCCCTCCACATAGGCTACCCACGCAGTGCCTGCTTGCATAAATTACCCACCACTGCTCCCAGACAGGAGGAAAATGTTTATGTACTATCACTAGGAAGATTAGATTAGGCAGTATGTAGAGAAAATAACACTCAGCACAATGTAACTGTTTCCACCCTTTGCTACAACTCACAGACGCTCTATATGAAGGGTGGAGAGGGAGTCATGGCTTCTTTGGAGGGAAATAGTGTTTTTGTTTAATGGAGATGGAAGGCTCTGAGGATACTCCCTGTTTGAGAGATGTACCATGGTGGACACAGGATTCTCCAGGGGTATGAGAATTCCCTCTAGAACTTTCAGGAGGGCTAGAGTGGGAGGGAGCCTCCCATTGGGCAGACAGTCTAAGTTCCTTTCATTAAACTCGTAAGACATCTCAAACGTGCTTCTGGCTGTATTTCCTTTTACAAACATATATAGCCCCATACATGACAAAGTTATCCCTGTAAAGCAATAAACCTAGGCCTCTGCCTTCCAAGAATAAGGTTATGATAAAGACAAATTGTACTCTGGCCAGAAGGCATGGAAAGCATTTGCAATGGTACATAGTGAAAAACCTCAAATTTCTGACTGCTGGGCACAGAGGCAGAACCATCAAAAAATCACTAGAGTGGCAACATTTGGTGAGACCACAGTCTATGCAAAAAAAAAAAAAACAACTGAGCATGGAGGGTAACCCCCATGCCCTGACTAATCCCAACACCACGAGACATTCCTGGATTGAGATACTTTGACAGTAGTCCCACTTGAGGTATTTCTCCATAGAAGGGGCTACTCTTTTATGTCTGCCTCCCTGTGTACTGTCTGTGTTCCCCATGTGTGGGAAAACAAATCATAAATATGGGTGGAGTAAGAGCAGAGGTAAATGTAGGAAGCATCTCTGGAAAGGAGCTAATTTCATAAGGTCTGGCAAGAACAGGGATCTCCAGGGGGATTAAACGGGAAGACATTTCCCAGGCATCTTTGGCTTACCATGACAACGCCTCCAGACTGCTCTGCAGTACACATGCTCATGATGGGTGCCATGCCGATGGTGGTCCCTTGGAAATAGACCCCACTAAAAAACAAAAGGCAGGACTGTCTTTAACCTCATGCACTAGGGATGCATTTCCCAATAGTTGAAATCTTGTTTAGGCAGGCCTGCAGTAGAATGCTCAATGATGCAGATAGCCCCAGGAGGGGGTATTTATGTGTGACTTTTATCTTTAGTCATTGCACTTTATTTTTCCATCATTCTTGTAGAGTTTTGCTGTTCAGACTCACACAGTGGCCAGGCATTACTTCGCATTTCTAAGTTGCAGCCTGCCTGTTTCCTGATGGGACTGTAGGTGGCTGTTCCTTTGGAACAATGCCTGCTGATAGAAGGCTGATAAGTCACTGGGAATCACTGTTTGCTGAAGGAAACAGGAGACAGCTTGGGAGATTTTCTGTTGTAGCTGGAGTTTGCTTTCCTGTGTAAACTCATCATCTCCAGACAAGAAATCCTTCAAATTCTGCCAATATGGCTTTTGAGACTGAAACCGGCAGAAAAGTGATGGCTCCTGTAGAGTCTGTGCACAGCAAGTAAGTACCCACAACACCTTGGCACCAGGAAGTTCCTGGAGAGGAACTTCGTGGCTTCCATGTAGGTGTCCTCCTATCCGGAATCTCAACCTGATCTCAAATCTAATCATACCAAAGGACTGTTTCCGGCAAGTGTGTTAATCCCAGGCTCATGCATTAAAACTTTAACAGTGTATTTGTTGGACTCCTATAAAGTAATCAAGTGACTTAGTCATGCTTTGTTGGCCGTGTACCACTACAGACAATGCAGTAGTGAGAGTCTGAAAAGTCAAACACGAGGCAGGAGAGATGGCTCAATGGTTAGGAGCTGGCTGCTCTTTAAGGGGACCTGGATTTCATTCCAACACCCAGAAAACAGCTCACAACTGTCAGTAATGCCAGCCCTAGGGGATCCAGCTTCCTCTTTTGTCCTCTGTGGCTGTCATAATATGGTGCAGACATACATGCAGACAAACATTCATACATGAAATAACATAAAATACAAATTAAAGTTAGATATCTTCACAGTGACTAATTGGACAGAGGTAGCAAGTGTATAAATACCATTGTTCCTTCTCTATGTCTGTTTCGTTTTTATTCTTTAGTTCTCTTTTCCTTTCCTTCTTTTTTTCTTCATTTCCTTCTTTCATCAATATCTATCTATCATCAATCTATCTATCTATCTATCTATCTATCTGTTTGCACTATAGCCATCCTTCATCTATGGGGATTAAACCCAGAATCATCCAAGGGTGCTACAAATCACAGATACTCAATTCCTCCTATCAGACTGCATTGTGTTTGCAAAAGAGCCTATGCATCCATATAATTTAATCTCTTGATTATTTGTCCTTAAAGCAGTGTAAGTGCTCTGTGAGTCATTATTCAGGGATGACAAGGATAAAGGTCTGTAAATGTTAATAAAAATAGAACTTTTTCCTCTAATATTTCTGGTTTGAGGGTGGTGGAACCCTCAGACGTAAAGGGCCAACTATACACTCGTATTTATAGCCACTCACATATATGAACAGTTACAACTATACATACAACTAAATAAGAAGATTAAAGAAGATGTGAATTTATTTCCAGATGTTTAGGTTGAACAGAGTCTTTTAGTGGAATACAAAACAAAACAAAACATTCCCAATTCAAAGTACATGAGATGAAATTTTAATAGTGTAACCAAACACATCCACAGAGACCCTGTTGAAATGGCCAGAGCAAATAACCAGGGAACACTGACCCACTGGGAGTGGGTAGAGGCATTTCCTAAAGCGAACACAGGGCAGAACCATCTCTTCCCTTCTCACAAGTGTTCAACAAGCTAGAACCGACCAAAGAACAGAAACCACTGTGTAGTGAGATATCCACCCCACCCCCAGCTGTAGCACTGACCACGCCCATTTAGGTGTGATCACAGGTGCGGACTGAGGGGTGGGAGAGAAGGCTAGGTCTGGGGTCCCTGACTCCAGCTTATTCTCTTGCTTCCTGATCAGGTTGCAGAGAGCATCCGGGTGGCAGGGTGGCATCCGTGGAATGGGAACCCGCGGAGGTTATCTGTTTCATGTGTAAGTGAAGTCTGCCTAATAAACCTCACTTAACTTATACTGAGTCCAGTGAATCTTGATTCCCACGTGATACCACAGTGTCTGAAGGTTTCACTTAAGTGACACGAGAACAAAAGAATGACAGCATACAGTACTTAAAGACCGAAATAAACATGTGCCATCTCTGGAAACATCTGCTTCAGGCAAATATAGGGATAGTCTCTGCTTTTAAATGCAAAGGTGTCTGGACTCTCTCATCATGCACTGCTGGATAGCCACCCCATCCTACTTCATTTCACATCTCCATATTAGTTGCTACTCTAATGCTTTCCATTCTTCTGTTTCCTCTCAGCAAACAGAGACTCCCCAGAGCAAGAACATCTACTGGCCACTGTTACGTTCAAATCACCTAGCTGGGTCCTAGCAAGTGCTCTATGGATACTGACTGGAGGAAGAATACATGGCCTGGACAACATACCTGACCTGGAAAGCCAGAGAGAACTTCTCCACCAGAAGAGGAAGGCCCTCATGTTTCTCCAGGTACCCAACAATCTTCACTCATATGTTTTGCTCTCAGATCGTGTAAAAACATATATTTTCCCACTAACAATACGCTGCTGTTTGAGGCAATATTATTAAAACTAAGACCAGAAAAATTAGCACAGAGGAAAATGCTTAGTTATGGAAAACCAAACCAAACCAAAATTGAGAGTCCCACAGAGGGACAGGAGACTCTCCCAATGGGTCTGTGATGTCAAGTGGGGATGTGCTTGACCCCTGATGCAGGCTAGGAAGCCCTTTGGAAGAGCCAATATGCTGTGTAGACAGATATGGCTCTGGGTACCCTCAGGCTCAGCACACCAGAGGAGAGTATGTACAGATGGCATTGTCTTTAGAAGAAGAAGACAGAACCTCTCACCTGATAAGCTGAGCATTGTCGTGGGATTTGCGAGGTAGAAGCTTTATCTTCCTCCAGTCCAGAAATTCATGGAGACTGGTGAATGGGTCCTGGCTTATTGAGCATTTGTCAATGTCATTCCACACTTCTACCCCTACTAGAACGATCCGGATGTTCAGTGGTCTGTAAAACTAGGAAAATGGGCAGCATTGGAGGATCACATTATCAAAAACTTAAAAAGAAAATTGGAAGCGATTTCACCGTTGAAGTCATTGCTATAAGTCAGGAAAGCCCCTCTCTGTGCACCTTTGTTCCCATGGCAACAAGATTTAAGACATAGTCTTAGTGCTTGGTGCAAAGTGAAATGTTAACTGTACTCCCTAATGTTGATCAATTTGATGCTAAAAAGTTATTAGCCATTTCTCCCCTGCCTGCCCATACAGGAGGAGACTTTCAAGTGACTTGCTATGATTTAAATGTGGGTGTATGTTACCATTTAATATGCTGTCAGTTACTATCTATTGCAAGAAAAAAATGACTGGATAAAGATCATTCAGTCACTTCTGCCAGGAATAAGATTTTTTTTTTTTCATTTTCAGTACAGTGTTCTGCCTACGAGGAACTAAAGATGTATCTGAATTTCTCAGCAAAGACTCAGCTTTGGCTGACACCATCATATCCAGTCACCTATCAAGTTAGGAAGTTTAGTGCCTTTCAGAATAATGGAAGCATAGACGAAGCCTTCTTCAGTAACTTATGACCACATTTTTCTCACCACACCAAGAAGTTATCTCAGCCCTGGTGAGCTGGGAAGATCTGCCATGCAGAATTCTTCTCACAAGAGCTTCAGAAAGCTTTGGGTAGACCCAGAGTCTTCTTCACCCCTACATACAGGCAAGTAATAATGACTTCAAACAAAGATCCCAGTCGGTACAAAATCAGGAAGAGACAATTCTTCTAATTGCCAAAGGATGACTTGTCTCATCTGTGCCTAGAGGGGCAGTATGAGTGGCTAGCCAATATGGAATGCACATCAGTCCATCCCAGATTTGATGCCAAGGTTCTTCTAGGTCCATATTTCAGCCCACAAAGCAACTATAGAGTTAAGAACTGTTACTGTTCCCATTTATAGTCAAGCCAATGGGGCTTGCTCTATATGTAACAGCACACTGGCAGGGAGATAACTCTGTGGTCACAGCTAAGGAGGTAAGGACACCTTGTTGCCTATTAACCTTTTGATGCCAGTGACATACAAGTCCACATGCAACAAGAAAAGTCCCCATTTTCTGAGATGCTGGCTGCACAAGGAGAAAGTCATTACAGCCAACTCCAGAGGAAAGCAGATACTTGGAGTTTCTAGTAACATCTGGCCAGTAAGGAACAGGGATCCCAGCAGTTCTGCATTGGAGAGTTAAGCATCATTCCAATGTGGCAAGCCAAAGCACAAGGAGCTCCCCAAGGCTGAGCCCCTGACCCCAGATTCTCAACTGCACTTGAGGCAGCTCATCTTATCCCTCACTGATCCCAGAGTCACATGGTGAACATTGTGTCAGCATCAGAACCAAAGAACTCAGCTGAGGCACAAATTATGTCATAAGCTACACTGATTTCAGTGGTCTTGGGGTTAAACAGATAATAAAGTCCATATGAAATCAATACATTAATGAGACAATTACCTAAGCAAAATGTTGTCCAATGGTATGTTTTTAATCAAGCTGCACACCATTTGTGCCTATTTGCAAACTTCCAGCCCAGGTTACCCAGGAAAGACAAATCCTGGACCATTCTGAATGATGCCTGCTCATGCCAGGGGCACCCCTCAAGATGATATTCCATATTGTGTCATATGTAAAGGTCACAGTAATCAGAGAACAAATTCAATGCTGATATTTATGCCAGCTTTCTAAGAGATCCATTTAGGTCCAGATATCCTGAGTGGCCAGGGTTGTCATCTGAGAAATGGACACTGTTTGCCTCCCAGAGTGGAAGCAGGAACTAATGTCTGCTCAGGCCTAACCTATCATCTTTCTAAGCACGAGCCCAGGAGCATACCAAACAGAGAAGTTTTCATACTGATGGAGAGGTTGCATTTCTCTGTGAGCCCTCTCGAACCACATCCTAGCCCAGATTTCAGACTTAGTGGAATGTCACCTCCTCTCTAAAGTTAACACTGTCGATTAACTTCCACGTGTGCTATGCCTATTGCAAGCCATCATGCAATGTCCCCTGGGTTTGCCCACAGGTCATCTTGGTTCTTGTCAGTGAAGTGTAATGAGCTTAGATACAGCCGTAGCTTGATTCCATGATGCCCCCTAAGCCAAGACTTAATCCTCAAAGTGATTCTATGTTAGGAACTGTTATTGCTCCCATTTTAGACCAGGTAAATTATTTGATCATGACTGCATGGCTGGAGTGGCACACAGACAGGCTGACTCTGATGTCATTATTTGAACCATTAACACTGCCACCCACATGTGAATACTGTGACTTCAGACTTTGAGAAAAGCTCATGGATCCATGTAGACAAATAGAGCTTGGTATCTGCCTGCCTGGCTCAGGGATCCCAGAATGTATGTAGACAGAGTTAGAGACACAGATGAGTGATTCTCATATTAAACAACAGCTAGAAATGTTTGCTATCAGTTTTTGTTGTGGGCAGGAACATGGCACAAGCAGAGGAAACAAAGATTAGGATGGCTTTGCCCTGGCTCAGCAGCTCAGAGGTCAGCACAAGGTTTTATGCACAGGGGATACTACCATGGATCCAGTTAACTGATGAGGTATCTCACTGAGCAGTAGCATCAACAGGAAGTCCAAGGAATGCTGTGCTGGAGGGGCCAAAGCTTTCTGGAAGGAGCAGATAAGAAACGAGGGAGGTAGAATTCCCTAGCAACCCGGGAAAGCTTGCATTCTTCAGGCAAATGGCTTAGCAGAGGGAAAATAGGGTGGTTGTATGAATGAAGACGGTTGAAGAAGTCCAGAGTCCCCCAGAGGATGACCACTGAGGCTTGGAGCTGAAGTCACAGCTTAAGAAGGTTGGTTTGGAGTGATGACTTCAAGATGCAAGCCTTCAGTCCCCAGATGCTTACTCTGCTGCTCCTGCTGCAATGTAATCGGGACTCGGGAACAGTAACTTTGACCTCTTCTAGAAGCAGAACCATCAGACACACATTCTGTGTTTGTCATCTGTGATTTTCTGACCTTCTTAAGAACCTCACCTTTGTCTCGGTGTCACTCCTCTGTCCCCCATTCTGGGGTTTTCTCTTTTTCCAAGCTAGTACAGCTAAATAGTTATTAATTTAGAATGCCCAACCAAGCCAAGATGTCAGCGAATGAGGAAGTGGCTACTGAGACAGTCAATGAGTTTTGGGCTGAGACTCTCCCAAGAGTATAGTTGCAAAACTGAAACTGGGAAGTCTGATGCTGCTTGGAGTAATCAGCCAAAAGTTGTGGATAGAGTTGCCCAAGGAGCCTGAGTTTTCTCTCCAGGGTCTCTAGGTGCTGTTGAAGGGTGGGCAGGAATACCATGGCTAAACATGTCTATGTACTCAGTGAATTGGCTCTGTTCTCCCCTCATCCAGGCTGGCACACTTGACCAAGCCTACCAGGCTTCTAGAGGCATACTGTTCTTTAATGACAAGCACGAGCCATTAACAAACCCCCAATTGCTCATTTTCAGTTTTGTGAAACGAGGCAAGATAGAACCTAGAATAATATGTAAAGGCAGATAAAGGCAGGGGACCACTTATTAAAATGGGGGTCTCAGCCATTTCTAGTTATATGTTAATGTAGCCCATCACTTCCTTTTACTCCTAAGGCCTGGGATGAGCTCTTTCACTCCTTAGGGGCGATGGAGGCCTTCCAGATGAATCTGCCTTGGTGAGATTAGCATGCTGGCTTGGCCTTTTAACTATCCAAACCTTTTACTCTCTGTCATCTGTTTTAAGGGGAACTTTGCATGGATCTTTGCCAAATCCCACCTCAGTCAATCAGCTCAGATTAGGAAGGCTGAGATTTTGGAAGCAGCATTTAAAAGAGTAGTTCCACAAACAAACCAATTCCCCAAGGAATTCTAATGCCCCAGCCTGATTGTGGTCCTGCTTTTCTTTCTTGGACATGTCTCAGGTAGCTGGTGCTAGCCTCCAACTTGCTATATAGGTAGGGTGACCTTGGACTTCTGATCTCCTATCTCTACTTTCCAAGGGCTCTAATACAGGCAAGCTCCACACACCTAGTTTATGTGGTGCTGGGGATGGGACTTTGCTCCACACACAGAAGGTGAACACTCCAACTATTGAGCTACATCTTCAGTCCCTGTGACCCAACTTTTTTAATTCTTGTGCTCTATGCTTGGCATATTTCTCAGGATCCTTGCTTTCCTTTCCCAAGTACTGGTCCTCTAACCAGGATGCTCCTTCAGTTCTAATATGTGAGGAGTTACCACTAAAACATTTTTAAAGCCATGTGTTGCTCCAGAATTCAGTCTGCCTCAAGGGTCTGATGAAAAGGGGTCAGAAATAAGAACTGGGACCTCAGGCAGTCCAAATCCCAATTCATCAGCTAGCTGTGTGTGCTCTGTTCACACACAAACACCATCATGCATGCATATGAGTCCGCATGAACATGCATGTGTGCATGCACAATGCTTGTGCCTATGCTCTGTAATCACAAGGAGCTACTCACTGTATCTCTAAGAGTTGAGAGCAGACCAAGCCTTCCCTACTCTTGAGTACATGCCCTCACTCACTCCCCACCTTGCAAGATCACTGTCCCAACTGCAATGACCCTTGTCCCTATCCCCTGAGGAAGTGAGTAGCTCTTGTCTGTAACTCCAGAGACCTCTGCCTAAAGCATCATTGCAGGGCTCTCACTTGGGTGCAGGATGAAGGGTTTATGTGTCTACCTGCTATGGGTCTGCTGTGACTGCAAACACAGCAAGCGATTACATCTGATTGATGCACAGAACTCAGGACCACATGTTATACAAGAACTTGTAGGATGAAGATGAACTGATGCAAAGACTTTTGCCTTTCTCTTTCTGAAATGGTTGAAAATTCAAATGGAACAGAACGGGACTGCTCAAAATGAAAGATGCATGGAGAAGCCCCTTCCAAACTGCTATGTTTGAAGGGTGGCTATACTGGAAAAGCCTGGCTGTGAAAGACTCAGCTACATCCAGGCCCTGCTTTTCACCTAGCTGTCATAGGCAGGAGATGTGTGACTACTGAAAAGCCCAGCTTTGTCTCTGCTTCAGCCTTCTCTCCACAGGTCGTACCTACAGTGGAGCCCTATACCAGGTGAGTTCCTGGCTTTGGGCCCTGGAGCTGCCAGCCACACAGAATGTGAGCCTCCAGGGGACATCTGAAAACACATTTGCCAGCAAACAAGAAGCCAGAAAAGTCTTTGGAAGCCCTCACCCCCTTCCAGCACTGATGGGTAAGCCATTGAGAGAAGCCCTGCTTCAGATGAGAGCCATCAAACCCACACAGTCCAGAGTCCATCCTTCAGGACGTCACTAGGAGCAGGGTGCTTTAGGCAGACAGAACCCCCACTTCCTTGCCAGCAGGTTGTAGAAGGAATCAGATCCCCAGAGACTCTCCTCTTAGAAATTGTCTTGTGAATGTAGTGGTTGGGTCTCCCCTGTTTTTAATGAAGGACTTCAGATAGTGGTTGTTATAAAAAGAAGTGTTCTCCAAAATGCTTCCAAAAATGGCTTTGATTATTGAGATGTGATTGGATCCTGAAGACTTGGACCTAATCAAATGCTTACTGCTTGGCTGGAGTTACTAGAGTGTTGTTACTGGGAGGTGGGACCTAGTTTAAGGATTACAAGGGTGTGTCTTGAAAAGATACACTTGAGGGCTACTCCTTGCCTCTCTCTGCTCCCTGGCCACCATGAGTTGAACAACCCCGTTCCACTGTGCTCTCTCTGCCATGACGGTCCAGAGCCTTGGAGTCAGCAGACTTCAGCTTAAAACTCCCAAAGTCACAAGGTGAAATAAACATCCACAGTTTTTCTTACAGGTATCTGTCACACTGATTTAAAAAAAAATCCAACAAGGTGATTGATTTGGAAGTCAGCTTTTGGGTTCTGATACTGGAGCTTGTAGAGTCTATCCTGTAGGCTACATTGGTGCATTATGAACTTTACACTGTAGTGCAGAGAGGAAGCCTTGCTACCAAATTCTCAAAGGTTCAATGCACCCTTCTGGGATTCCATCTAATGCATTGTTCAGAATTCTCTTAGGCTAGAACACTTCCCAGCAAGACAAGATCCTAGAAGAATCAGTGTCCCCAAGGCCTCTACAGGCCAGCCCAGATAGGGCTGGAGTCCCCTAAGTTGTTCAGGACCTGGACACCAGCTCAGAGGCCTGGACACTCAGGACCAACACAGGACCCAGAGGCTGATCTTGGTCTCTCTGTTCAGTCACAGGAGGAGCACTTAATTCTCCCAACCTCATTTCCAAACACTGACATGATTTGAGGGATTTCATTACCTGTAAAGGAACTTACCTTGTCAACGTGATTAGCAATCTCTATTAACCGCTGCTTTACTTTCTCCAGATCTTTTCCTTGCCTCTGAAACTTAACCATTTGAAATACCAGCATTAATAATGATAAGAATATCAATCAGGATTCCTTTCCCAGATCCTGAGATGTGAATTTTTAGACTTTGGAGATACCCTGTATTTGGTGTGTGTGTGTGTGTGTGTGTGTGTGTGTGTGTGTGTGTGTGTGTGTGTGTGTGTGTGTGTGTAGCAGGGAGCTCCACATTTACAGTGCAGGAGCTCACATCAGGCCAGATAGTTTCCCCATCTGGGGAGTCCCTGAAATTCCCTTCAGTGTGCACCCTCAAGCCAAAGACCCATACGGTTAACTTCTTCAGCCCTTCCAGCCTCATAAATGATGGAGGCCGGGACATGTTTTGGCAAAGAGAAAATGGACAATGAGAAGGTTGTCCAAGGCCACTTTTCATATCATCAGCTTGATTTTTAACTTCCTGAGAAATTTCCTTTAGATTTGTTTTTAAACATAAAATATGAGAAGCAAGAAAAGCTCATAGCAACACATCCAAGAAAGAGGATGGAAAAAAAATTAACAAATTCCCCATTCTCTCCTCTAAGTTGACCTTCCAGAATGGAATGAGTTTTCTGAGAAATTGTCAAGCTGGTTTCACTCGTGTATGTTGAATGAGTTTAGGAGAAAAATGTTACCAATTTATAACATGTTAATGGGATGGTAAGAAAACATAGGGAAGACAATCTAAAGAAAATGAATTCATGATGAATTGAAAGAGAAAAAAAATCAATAGTACAAAGCCATATCACAAGAGGGAAGGATTTCTCTACTATGTCTGTATAGTATTCATTCATTCATTAATTCAGGTTAAGACACACCTAACTTTTCCCAAATTGTCAGAATATAATTTAAAGCCATCTGTCACTCCCCCCTAGATAATTTCCCTTACTTAGCAAGCTTGGCTACAGAGAAACACTGTGCTTTTTGGGGATATACTTGGCAATTATTTCATTACACTAGATACACATTAAATAGTCTGTGCTTCCTCACATCTGAAAAGCACAATGTTAATGCTTGTCTCCAAGGTTTTCAAGAACACACCAACAAAGGAGGCAAAGCTAGTCCTAACTGGCCAAGCACCATCTCATTTCCTTTTGAAACCAACTGTCTTGAGACATTTTATAGGTCCGTACCTCTCGGTTGTCTGCCACAATAACCAGCTCCACATACTTGGTCATCTTAAGGGTCTCTCTTTTATGCTGGAGAGAGAGAGAGAGAGAGAGAGAGAGAGAGAGAGAGAGAGAGAGAGAGAGAGAGTTAGTTTACCTTAATACTTCCCTGGAGCTTCCAGAACATTGTTCATGTCTTTCAGAAAATAAAAGCAAACAAGACTACAATGATAATATTTTCAGGGGACCTTCTTCCTCCCATGGGCTTTGTGGATGTGTGCCATCCAGAAACTGATTCCCAGCCCCAGTGATCTTTTTAGAAAGCCTCAACAGGGGCGAACCCGTTTCTGCTTTCCTATGGGGAATCCTAAAAAGGAGTTTAAAATTCTCACTGAATCATTGATTGTGGGTTCAAAATGAGAACCTAAAAAACTCTAAAGAATATTCTAGAACCAGAGCCAGCCAAAGGCTTGTTGTTACAGACTACAGGAGGATGTGAAGTTCGCTGAAGGCACACTGGAGTCCAGCCTGTCACTGTGTTTTTTGTACTGCTATGGACCATGTACATCTGTTCCATGATTGGAGGAGGGTTGGAGGAGAATACACTTTGTAGAGAAATGTGTGATCCCTCTGGGAAAATGCTGAGTGGCCAATGTTTGTGGCCAATCATTTAAACATGTAGTTTGAAACAGTGGAAGAGTGGTCCGAGGAGCAGAGAGGCAACAGGGAGGTGTACGGAGGCAAGATACAAAGGAGCCAAAGAGACCAGGAAGCAAGAGTATTTTTAAAAATATGATGGTGGGAATGGTGGTGGTGGGGGTAGAAGGGGTGGGGGTTGGGATTGGCAAGAGTGGAGTGGCTGAGAAGAATGTGGAAACTGGATCAGGGGGCAGGAATAGGAACACTCAGCAGTAGAGACACAGATCAGAACAAGATGGCCTCTGGGGCAGGTTACATTGTAATCAGGCTTCCTCAGAAACCGTTTACACTCTTCTGTAAATTACTGGGAGGATCCCAAAGGCATTTTTAGGGGAAATAAACCAATTCATGGAGGGTGGTCTCCAAAATCAAACACTGAGAACAAAACAACAACAACAACAAAAGCAAAGCCTTCTGCTTTTGCAATAACACACGGTTGGAGGAAGTGGGGGTTGATACCATCCCTGGTCCTCCCCAACTGAAATTGCTGGTTTATGACTTAAGTCTCATACACGGCTTGAGCCGAACACTCAGACAAAAGCAGAAGGGATGAAGGCATGCTTTGAATCAGGTTTCCAGTCGCATAATCCAGAGGGAAACATCTTTCATAAAACAAATCTCCACCAGGCCAGAATCTTCCAAACGGATTTTTACAAGAAAAATGTTTGTATTATAGTGGTGTTCCTGCTTGCTGCCCAGCTGTGCTGATTCATGAATTTAGGTGTCCCTGAAGAAATCTGGAAACCTCATGGAGGAAGGAGGATAAAGTACCATGAAAGGTATAATTTCTCACGCTTTTACAGCACTGCAAGGAGAAACCTTCAGGCATGGTAACTGTATGTGCAGGCAGGCTTCACCGGGATAACTGCGAACTCAGAGAAAGTCAGCCCCCATGTGTGCTCAAAATGAGACACTTCTGGAAATGAGAGGGTCTTGTCTTTTTTCCTTACTGAGGGGCCAAAGAAGCAGAAATCTCCCCACTCTTTCTCTCCCCCAACCCCAGGGTGAATGCATGTATGCATGTGTATGTGGTCTCTCAGTGAGCTGGAACCTGGTCATTTCAGTTAGGTTGGTCTGCCAATGAGTCCCTGGGACCCAGCAGTCCCTACTCCTCTGCCAGGGCTGGGGTGGCAGGTGTATACTTGCTGCACCTGGCTCTGAACATGGGTGCTGGGGGAATCTGAACCCAGAACAGAATGAACTTTTCTGGTTGAGCCATCGCTCCAGCTCCCAGGAAGCCACCTCATTTTCCCTTTCTTCCCCCACTATAATACCTTGTTCAACCGTGAATAAATTCAGCTAATTATGCAGACAAAAGCACTGTTGTGGAAATGGAGAAATACATTAATCTCTCATGACAAAACTCATCGCAAAAGGGCTGGTTGCTTAGGCATTTACACTTTGCAGACTGCAGAGGGTTGAAATCTATGGCCAGAGGACATTTCCAACTGGCCTTGGACCATCATTTAGAAAACACACAATCCCAGATAATGAAAACAAACACACGAACACAGTTTTCCTGTCTTTGCAGTTTTCAGAGAAATCCACATTTTCTCATGAATTCAGAGAATTGCAAGCTCAGAGAGAAGTTTAACCACATCATAATGAAAAGCCACAGGGGAGTGGCCAGCTCCCTGAAGGACAGGCTTAAATTACCTCCATGTGATCTCTACCTATCTAGGCTGTCCAATTTTAAAAATATATACTTTAAATTTGTTATATGGGCAGCAACATTGGAAACTGCTTGTTTGACTGTATTTTCATTCTGCAGGATTGTGAACCAAAGCCCGTTCCCAGATAGGAACTCGAGTCTCTGAGAAGGGACCAACAGTTTCAGCTCCAAGGTGGGGACAGAGTTGGAGACAAGGTACCTGGGAGAGAACCAGTTCCTAGACCTCTGAAAGTCAACCTAGCCAAGTGCCCAGAGGCTGAGTACCCTCTGAAGAGCTTGCTGTGATGTCTGGCACAGAGCGTTTAACTCAATCAAGGAAAGCAAGGGGAGACCAGGGTACCAACTGGTTTCCACAGCAATCCTTTCTTCTTAGGATCAGGCCACTGGCAGACATTTGCTCATCCTACAGTGTCTTCTGGGAGCTTGCTGTGTGTCACATGATGGGTTAGGTACAGGAAACACAGGGATAGATAAGATCAAGGCCACTCACTGTCTTCATGAAGCAATTCCTTTCTCTGCTATTGGGATGTATGGTTTGACTTTCTTATTAGCAGATTTAGCCTTTGTCTCTCACAAGCTTAAGAAAGTGGTTACTAAACATCACTTTCTATTCTTTTTGTTTGTTTTGAGATGTGGTCTCATGCAGCCCAGGGTGGCCTCTAACTTACTATGGAGCTGAGGCTGACCTTGAACTCCTGATCTTCCTGCCTTCACCTTTAGTGTGCTGGGATCACAGGCAAGCACCACCACATCCAGTTTATACAATGCCAGGGATAGCACTTGAAGCCACATGTGTGTGAGGTGAGTGCCTTACAAACTGAGCTGCTTCTCAAGTTTTCCCTTTCCATTCTTGCAGACACAGCCCAGGGAAAGGGATGGAGTCCAGGCCGGTGAGCCGAGTACCAAGATAGGTTAGGCTGGACTTAAAAATCCCCAGAGAGAAAACTATGACACTCCTGCCTTTCCAGAAGTAAATGGGGGCTCTCGCTACAATCTAACATAGAGCCTTGTAAAAGTGACAAACAGCTCAGGTTTATATGATAGCCAGCGTGACCTCCTAGATCAGATGGATTTCTGGTGCTCCGTGAAGAAAAATGCAAACATCTGCCGAGATAGTTAACATTGGTGGTGGTGGTGGTGGTGGTAGGTCAGGAAAATGCTGGAGAAGAGCAATTGTGCTTGGCACACTGCATAAGAAAGATCAATTAGCTGCAGTTACATTGATTTTTTTTTAAAGTATAGAATAAAATGCAGCACAGTGAGGCAAGTAATGGGCACGAAACTTGAATCTGTGCTTTGCCCATTCACCAAAAAGCTCTCCAAAATGATTTAGGTACCTGGAACTCCCAAGTATTCTGCTTATTTGAAAATTATTATTTTGTACTGTCTTTGTTATCTGCTCACAGTTTAGGGTAAGTTCTTTCCCTTGTGTAAGGCCATCACAAGAAGTTTCAGAGCAACAGTGGATGCTGAGGTAAACGGCACTGGCATCCATGCCTTCCCTTTTCCATTTAAAGGTTCATTTACGTTCCCATATTAGCAAAATAGCATCATTAGGCAGGCTTTCTCATTTCTCTCCATGTCAGTGTGACTGGAAATGATGCCAATCAAGGGTCTAGAGAGCTGTGTGTGCTCAGGGAATTAAAATACGGTCAGCAGCAAGTACAGACCAAGTTTGTACTTCTAAATGAGATGGGAGCACATTTGAGCATCATTTAAACTGTCAAGTTATAAATCATGCAATGTGGGTAACAGGCATTCAACCAGGTACTCAAAGCCAAGAGCCTGGAAAACAAAATGCAAATGATTGACTTGTTTATGATGGGTGAAGCTTGGCTCAGTCACATCCTAGCTGGGGTCTGGACTCGAAAACAGGCATGTTTGAAGAGTGAAATAAACATGAGGAGGGATTAGAAAGGCTGCCTCTCATGCCAGCTCTTAAGTCTGTCACTCAAGAGAGGTGGGACAGGAGGATTGCAAGAGGGACCCTTCTAGAGCTGAGATGCTGCTGCCGGGACATTCTCTCCCTCTCTCCCTCTCCCTCTCTCTCCCTCTCTCTCTCCCTCTCCCCCCTCTCTCTCTCTCCCCTCCTTTCTTCCTCCCCCTAACTCTTCCCACTCCTAGTGTGTGTGTGTGTGCATGTGTAGGTGCATGTGCTCATGTGTGCAATTGTGTAGAGGTTGGAGGACAGCTTCAAGTGTTCCTCCCCAGGACATCATTCACAGGTTTGTTGTTGGTGGTTGGTTAGTTTATTTTTGTTTGCTTTGCTTTGTTTGAGACAGAAACTTTCACTGAACATGCCAAGAAGTCTAGACTGGCTGGCCAGGGAGCCCCAGAGATCATCCTGTCTCCATCTTCTCAGGGCTGGAATTACAAAATAGCATCAGCACATCTGGTTTTTAAAGAAAGTTATTAATATAGGTTTAGGGGATCAAACTCAGGTGTACATACATTCACTTTGTTGACTGAGCTATTTCTCTTGCCTCATTTAGTTATTTTGAAACAGGATTCCATGAACTGGCTATGTAATGAGAATGCCCTTGAAATCTTCATCTCTACCTCCACCCTTCAAAGTGCTAGGATTATAGGGGTGCACCAACATCCCTGGCATTTCTGGGTGGTTTTATGATCTGGAATTCAGATAGACTTCCACCTCTATTTCTTAAGCATCAATGCCAAGGTAAGCAATAGCATGTAAAGGGAGAGCTCTTCTTTCTCTGAGGAGGCAGAAAAAACAATGTTTTGAGCATTGTATATGGACAATCTTGGGAGTCATCATAGGAAAAAGGCAATTGGATCTCATGACAGAGTATCTGCGTGGATGGCGGAAAGTCCAGAGCTGGGTGGTTTAGAGCAGTCTAGGGGAACAGACACTGCACAGGCATAAAGAGAATTCAGGGAAAGGGGCAAGCTCATTGAACACAACTCCTTTTTAAACTTAAAGGATTTAGAGGGGGAGGGGGTAGTTCAGTGGTAGTACACTTGACCTAGCATGCATTAGGCCTGGGTCAATCTCTAGTACTGTTGGAAAACAAAAAGAAGGAAAGAAAGAAACAAGGAAGAAAGGAGGGAAAGAAAGAAGGAAAGAAGGAAGGAAAAAGAATGAAAAAAAGAAGGAAATAAAGGATGGACTAAGATGCACCAAGAATAGCCTTCATGAAATGTTGATGGTGCAGTTTATTGTTAGCTCAAAGTTAGGTGACTGTTAACCTAAAGCTGGGAAAGACAGAATGTGTTGAGGGATGCAAAGAACATGCCACTCTTGCCTTCCTTGCCAATACAATTTTAACATAGGGTGTATCATATATTTGCTGTTTTAGAAATCTCTTCTCAAGTGAAGAGCAGGAAACACACATATACACAGCCCCTCACCCCCAAACAAAACAAAACAGCCAGAAGAAGGGGATAACTTTCATCTCTGGTTATAGCCTCGCAGTGGAAAAGGCCGTTTGCTCCTTGCCAGCAAAGCTCCGCTGGGGCCTGTACAGCCCATGTGAATGGCAATGAGCAGCTACCACAGGGCAGAGTTGTTCCAGGGTATTATGGGAGTCAGCTTATAGCACAGACTCTGTTGACAACTCCCGTGATGCAGCAAAAGGAGTGGTGGCAGGCAGGTGGTTGGAAAAGGCAGGCTGCTGCACAATCCTGGAGGGCAAGGACAAACACTGACAGCACGGCCTAAGGATACACGGGACCTTAGTGAACCACTGGAGAAGGCTCAGTGGCCCTCTGCACTGCAGGTGGATATGGGTGGTTTGTTTCCTATGCCCAGTTCTGAGGTCTCAAACTGTGGAACAGACCACGTGATATGGGGAACAAGAAGGGGTGGGAACACATACTTGCTTTGCTGTCTATGCCCGTGGTGACTTTGCCATCCCCTTGACCCTGATGATGAGACTTAACTCACCACACGTTAATGGATGTGATGATCACATTTGCAGGGAAGAGGCAGGGGTTTGGTTTGTGACGGTACTCTGCCCAGGACATCCCCCTACCCCCTGAGGAATGGGGATCACTCCATCCACACTGCATCCAGCAGCAAGGCTGCTCCACACCTTCTAGCCCTGCAGGCCCCTTCTTTTAGTCCTCAGCTCGAGAACCATGAACTTGGGATTCCCTCTTACCCTTCTTGACCACATCTGAGAGGGTTCAGGGGAGAGATCCATGATGAGGTTGGACTGGTTATGATGTGACCCACACAATCCCTGGGTGTTCTTCATGTTCTCAGCGGGGACCAGTTTGTAGCCGTCGGTGGTGTTTTTCATCGGTTCTAAGATGTAGGTTTTATTCTCAAACACAATAAGTCCCCTGTTGGAAAGGTAATACAAATATTAAGTTTTAAAGGACAGTTTCTCATTTATGGTGAAGATAGATTTTAAAAAGGATTTATTTTTACTTTTACTTATTTCTCTCTCTTTCTCTCTCTGTGAGTGTGTGTTGAGTGGGTGTGTTTATGTGTGTGTCCATGAGTATATATGTGTGTGCTACATGTATGTGGGGGCCTGAGGAGGCCAGAAGACAGTATTGGTCCCTGGAGCTGGACTTATCTATATAATACCCCAGTCAGCGTAGTAGACCAGCACCATTCCCCACAGCTCACATCAATTACACTTTCTTTTCTCTTTCCTTATTCCCTTTCCTCCTGTTGCTGCATCTCCTAAAGTCGAGAGGCTGACCTGGTTTATGATATAAGGGTTTATACCTCTATCCCATTATGTTGCCTACCATTTAATCCCCCTACCTTGCCTCTATTATTCCTACTTATCCTCTACGTATGTATTCTTTATGTATTCCTGCTCTTCTGCATGTTCTTTCTCTCTAGTTCTCATCTAGCTACATAATCATAACCACTCACCATGATTCCTCATTTCTCTTTCTTTTACTTCCGCTCATACCCACAATAACTGACATATTAGTATAGATGGTACTGTGTGGGCTCCTTTTCTCCCTAAAACAATTAGTATTTAACAAGTGTCTGTTTTGTAGCCACCTGCTACTCTATTGTCAGAGTAGGTCAACTGCTGGATCGTGACTATTCTCACAGTCAGCATCAAGCCACAGAGATGGACTCGAGATAGATCCTAGCATCTGTAACGCCAGTCTGACAGAGCAAAGCTTGCCCACCAAGACACTTTTGAACTATAAACTCCTCCACTAAAAGAAGAGAAGTGACCTGAAAAGAAGAACAAAAAGTCTTAACCAACCATCTCACCTCACATGGGGAGAGCCAAGTATAAAGATAGAAGTAACATGACATGTTAGGACTGTGTGTCTTCTTCCAAACCAACCAATCTATGGTTGTGGCTCCTGATGAAAAGGGCTGTGATGAAATTCTAGTCACAAAATTCAAAGGAATGATTACAAATACCTGCAAACAACTTGTGGAGGACACATGTATTTTCCAAGAGAGCGCAGTTTACTAAATAAGGAAGTCAACTCATGATATGGAAATAGAAAGCAAAGGGAAACTGAAGAAAAGCCAATTGAAATGAAGATGGAAATGAAAAGTTCAGTGTAAAACCTCACCAACAGAGTTCATCATGATGGAACAGCCAGGTGTGAAGACAGCATAGGGCAAAGTGGATCAGGTTGGCATCGTCAACCACAGATTTCTAAAAATGTATGGAAGGAACATGCAAGAACTTGGAGACACACCACAAAACGATAAAAGTTGCAAATCATGGATACAGAAGGAGGAGGAGAATTTCAAGCAAAAGATGAAACTATTTCACAGAGAAAAATAAGCACAGAAGTAAAACCTCCAAATCTAGGGAGAAAGGAGCTGACCCAGCTTCAAGAGGGACACAAAACACCAAGCAGACAAGACTGGAGAAGAGATTCCATGTATCACATATCAGCAAGGGAAGTCACTGAAAGCTTCCAAAGAGAAGAGCCAGGCCACAAGGAAAGACAAGGCCATTGCGACAACTGCTGGCTTGTCAATCAAAACTTTAAACACACCAAGGCTTGAGATAAGATATTTCCAAATCTGAAAGACCACAACTGCCAGCCCAGCTTAATATCACCTGCAGAACTATCTATCATAACTGAAGGCAAAAGGAAACTTTGCACAATAAAGGCAGGCTAAAGGAGTTCATGGCCATCCGACCACTCCTACAGAGAACACTGCACTGCAGGCAATCCTTGGGACTAAAGAGAAAGATAAACACACTCAAGAGACTAAAGGAGGAAAAAAAATAAAGGATACTAAAAAGAAATTAAACAGAAGAGTACTAAGAAACCCCCAAACACTGGGCAATCAACAACAATGACAGGGATATATACACACCTGCCTGTAACAGCCTCATCTAATCTCAATTATCCCATCCAGAGCTACAGACTAGAAGACCAGATTATAGAGGACAGAGCTCTTATTTTGCTGCTTCCAAGAAATGTACTTTATGGCCAAAACAAACATCACCTCAGGGTGAGTGGATGGAAAAAAGTAGCTCAAGTAAATGGGACTAAGGAGAAGCAGACATTGTTACCCTAATATCTGACAGGATAGGCAGAAGCTATTTCTCTTCAGAGGACATAAAGAATGTCACTTCATAGTGACTAAGAGAACCATCCATCAAAAGAAAAGGCAATCCTAAATATGCAGGTCCCAAAGGCAGGCTCATCCCACTTCATAAAACAAATAGTGCCCGATCTAAAGTCACAGATCAACTCCAACACAATAGTAGTGGGTGACTTCATCTTACTGTCACCAGTAGACACACCAGCTGGGCAAACACTAATGAAGCAGTGCTGGGATTAAATGACATCAACTGTTTCCTTCAAGTCTACCTTATTTTTGGGGGACAAGGTCTCTCAATGACCCTGGAGTTTGCAAATTTGGTTAGACTAGCTACCTAGCAAGCCCCAGGGGTTCTCTGTCTCCCCCTTCCCAGCACTGGGATTATAGATTTACAAAATTACATGTTTTTTTCCCCATGGGTTCTGAGAACAAATGCAGGCTTTCATGCCTACAAGGCAAGCACTTCATGAACTGAGATATCTCTCCAGATCCTAACTATTCCTTCTGGCTACATTTCCATACTCAAATGCAATGGAGGGAAGAGGAGGGCCGCCTGATTAGGTATCTCTTTGGGCTGAGCATTAAATACACAGTAACTAACTCAAGGTTCATCAGCTGCTTCTTTTACCAGCTCTTCGTTGAGGTGTCACAGGCAAGTGGCACTGCTAGGATACTCATCCCCGTATGTGAGAGGGTAGCCCCCAGGCTTAGATCAGTTAGAAACCAGTGAGAGCTTGGAGGGCACTGGCAAAAATCAGCATGACTAACTGTTAGAGCAAGGGAGCCAACTGAGCTCAGAAGCAACTGAAGAAGCCTGGGCCACATTCATGTGCCATGACAGATGGAAAAGATGCTGCAGATAGCTTCTCACCTCCCCCACTCAAGACAGTATCTGTGAACACGCCTAGATCTATGACCCAGGTACACCTCTGGGCTATCGCTATGAGGGGCAGCCTGTATCTCCTATGCTGAACTGCTTCATGCAATAAAACTGACATTTCTAAGTTTGTAATGGGTGGCCGGAAGTGTTGTTCGTTAGTGTTGACTTTAGAACACCCAAATTAAGGGGGGGGGGAGCACTTAAGAAACAAAACAAACAAGAAAGAGAAAGTATTATATATGACTGAAAGGAAATACAGCTACTTTGTACTATACCATATGCTATCTGCTGTTTTCTTCTGTTCCAAGCCATCCAATCAGCTGGGGACAGATAATGAAACATGGCACTGTGATCATGAGAAAGAAGCCAATCGCTAACATTCTTTTTTTTTTTCTTTTTTTTTCTGCTTAGTGGAAAGTTCTAGAAATTGTTACTTGGTCATAAAAATGTTCTCATATCTCCTTTTATCTTTTAAGTCATCCAAAGGCCAGATGTTGAGAAACAGGGGTGAAGGCCTCCCCTTTGCTCCACACAGTTGGCAGCCTGCAATACGCATAATTAAATAATTGCTTTGGACTATCTTGGGCATAATTAATCATTTAGCTGTAAAGATCTCTGGAAAGGACAGTCCAAAATTCAAGCACTCAAGGTTTCTGAGATGTAGAAATGTGATGTTCTCACAGCCCTCTCTGGCCCCAAGTTAGATAAGGGAGGCAATTTATTTTGAGTTGGATGTCATAAATGTTTGATTATAAATTTCAAGTTGGAAGAGTCTCAGAGTAGAGTATCTGAGTCTAGCAGATTTTGAAAGTGGGGTTCTACCAACCCCTCCAGCACTCAGGGAGGAAAGTCTGAAATCAAAACGATGTACCAGTGTTTGGGAAAGATAGACTGTGGGTACCTTCTTGGAATCTAGCCTAATTAAACCTATTACTGTAGTGACCTTCATGCAGCTGAAGCTCTAGTCATCAGTCCCAGTGTTTAAGATCCCAGGCAGCTCAAAGAAGATCTGGAGATCCAACCCAAACTGACCTGTGTATCTGAGACTTGTGCCTTTTGGTACAGCCTTACCCATCATTATTAGCACTGCTTAGAGAGGAGCCAGGCTCTCAGAACAGGGACCAGGAAATGAAGGAGAAGGAGAAAAAGAGAGCGGAGAGATGAGAGGCTGCAGTGAAAATCAATGGCCTTTCCCTAAGGTTCCAAGTCTGTGACCTGAGATGTTGCTTGGTGACATGCTTGTCTAAAGTGCATGAAGCCTTGGGCTCATTCCCTTCTTAGCAGCACATCAGCCTGCACAATCCTTGCACTTGGGAGACAGAAGATGCAGCTGGGCTTAAGGCAATCCTGTTACACAGACAATTTGAATCTAGCATTTGGCTACATGAGACCCTGTCAGAAACAAAACAAAGCAAACAAAGCCCATAACAAAGGAAATATTTAAAGTATTGTTATTTTCTCCTTGAATGGACATGAAGAGGAATTTATCAAATTGCTAAACTGGCTTTGTTATGTTTCAAAGGGAATACACATCAGATTTATATTCCCCCAAGGTTAAGGTTTTGTGCTGAAAATTCAGACTTTAGTCCCTGAAGCAAGGGTGTATCAGGCAATACTGCAACTTAATGCTGTTATTTTTATCATTTGCTTATTAGTCCCTGGCATGCAGCAAAGTGGCCAGACTCCCTGCAATAAGACAATGAAGAAATACAGACTATTCCCGCAAGTTCAGTGCCGTGCTGCTAACAGCACTTACTGAGGAAGGACTTTTAGTCTCTGAATCATGCTGTCAATCACAAGACAGAAATGCATCTGGCATGAAATTTCATTTCAATCCCTTTTTCTGGAAGAGCTCATGGGTAAAAGTAATATCCTTTCTCATGTATGTTTGATAAGCTGAGATGGCAG